TTTAATAATGGGAAACATGCCACTAATTGAATGAGAATCTAAGTCTGACTTGTGATCTCAGACATTCTGAGGTTTGAGATGCAAGCTATAGAGTGGAGACACTGTACTGCACACCAGTGTGGGAGGGGTGGCATCTAGAGGAGCCCTATACTAGACACTTTTCCTATGCGACTTTCAAACCCTATGTGTTTTAGTTTGTAAAATACTCAAAATTAAAATTTTAAAAACACCAGGTAAGACTTCCCAGTAAATACAACACAGGAACCACACTATTAATATTGGTTCAGTTTCTTCCCGAAGCTACAGTAAAATGCCAATCAAAGGATAAAAAGGTTTAACTGCACAAGGGCGGAGAACAGAAATTAGTATCAAAGATGGAAGAAATTAAAAGGTTACAGGGTGGGCTGCTGAGCTTTCTGTGCAATGGCAGAGAAAACAGCAGTCAAAAGAAAGCCCAGACTCCAGAAAACTGGGAAATAGAGGAGGGTGCTGCAGAACAGGGCGCAGTCTGACCCTCAATCCAGTCATGGTAGTACTCCAACCTACAGCTCAGCAAAAGCTCAAATCTTAGCACATGACGATTACAAAGGAGCTGTTCGTATAGACCACCCGATAGAGCATTATTAGAGACATGGAGATTGAGTGGAAGTGTGAACTTTAAGTGCTCACTTCTGAGAGTAGACTCAATGGCACCCTTTCGCCTCCTGCCCTAAGGGAAAATTACAGGTAGCAACAGTGAAGGAGCTCCTAATCCCAGGCCAGTAAGCCCTGCTCTGCATACACAGACATCCAATCAGCTTGTGAGCACACATTCAAATGGAATCCTCTACGCTATCTTTTTATGGAACATGCTCACAAAAGGACAAATTATAAACCACGAAGAAGTCAGATACCAGTATTGGTTGCGAAGGATGTTATAACTTATAGTCACACCACAATCCAACTAGACATAGAAAACTCCCTGAAAAACACTAGACATGCAGTTAATCCCTGTCAACACTGAAAAAATAGTAAGCATACAGTCTGTGCTGGGAAGTGGACTACCAACATTGGGTGTTACATGTAACTAAGGATGTAATAATAAAGTATGCACATGATTAACAGTATAAGACCATATGTTACCCATTCAGGTAAGAGTGGTCTCAGAAGAGTGAGGCTTATGGGAAGGCTTTGAAGACAGAGCACAAATTTGATTGCTCTTTGAAGTATGTGCCTCCAACAGAAGGACATAACTGGTATTGCTGGAAAGGACTGAATTGTCAAGACCGCAGGTGAGCAGTGAAAACAATGGGTTTTATTTTAAAGGCAATGAAAATTATTTTTGACTAGGGAGTCATATGGGTATTGTATGCTTTACAAATGTTTACATGGAGTTATGTGGTAAGGGTTAAAAGCAGGAAACTCAAGAGAGATCAGGGAAACTACCATATCACCAAATGTAAGAATCTGAGAAAACGTTCAGACCGATGAGTAAGAGAGAGACTGTACCAGGTCACAGGAGGGTAACATGTAGAAACACAAATTTGAGGAACTTAAAAGAAAAAAGTTAAATACTGTTTTAAAAGATCAATGCTTCCCTTAATAAGTATCAGAATGCATTCTGCCTCTCTTCCTTTCCAAATTAATTTATGCTAATCCACCTTAAGTACTTGAGGTCAAAACATGTCCAACTGCCTGTATCCCTAAACTACCCTAAGCTTTCATTATGTGTGATTACAACTGGATCAGGAAATGGGTGGTTAAAAACACAAACCAGGTATCAAGGTGCTCAGTCAGATGTAATATACATTTATTTATTCATATGATGAACAATATGAAACTTTAAAATGCCTTCATTGGATCAACAATGAGGAGAACTGCAGGCTTGTCTTTCTACCCACCCTGGGGGCCGATGCAGGACAGCCTGGGGTAGGGAGTGGTTCATGACTAGCATACGTAATTTAAGGAGACCCTGTCTCAAAATAAAAAACTCACAGACAACTGGGGACGTAACTCAGTGACAGAGTGCTTGTGTGGAATGCAGGGAGCCCTGGATTCAATCCCCAGTACTAAAAGAAAAAAATATTAAAACAGCCTATCAAAAATATAATGGAAATGAAATTAAATGAGATATTAATAACTAGTTCAAAGATACATTTTTAGATTAAATATTTCAAGGTCTAGACTAACATGAAAGCCTTAAAAATCAAGGACATACTTTTAAATGTTACTACAATATACTGTAACCCACAGATAAACATCCCACAAGTTCAGAATTATATTAATCTGAAACACTTTCATAGTAAACAGTCTTCAACCAATGACCTCATCCATATGTGACTGACAGGCAACAGATACCTGATTAGCATACACCAACTATGTGGTGCAAAGAAACCCTTCCATTTAAAGAATTTCTTCATAAATCCTCAGTTGTGCAAATCGACCTTCAGCTGGAGGATGAACAGGTGATTGCATGGTAAGTACTACTTGGAAGTCGTCAACCCATCACGGACTTTGAACTTTCCTGATATTTCATATCTGACATATCTAATGGAAAATTAGAAGATGGAGTTTTTAACAACATAAAAAAGCAGAAAACCAGAGCTGAACAAGCTTCCAAAAAGGTAAAATGTTTGCAGCATTTCTATTTCCCTAATTTGAATGGAAAAGAGAAAATAATGGAGGCTCTGAAGCTATCGCTACTACTTTAGAAGGCAATTAGGAAGATTTCCATCCACGGCATCAAATGGCTGCCACTCAGCAGAGATCAATTTCTTTAATGGGGAAGGTGATAGGTTTGAGACAAGGTCTCGCCAAATAACCCTGGCTAGCCTCGAACTCATTTTGCAGACCAGGCTGGCTTCAAGCTTTCATTGATCCTCCAGCCTCTGCTTCTACAATGCTAGGACTGTAGGTATGTGCCACCACGTCCAGGCTGAATTTCTTTAAAAAAGAATCTCTGGAACATATTTCAAAGGTTGCTTAGGATATAAAATAAAAATTTTTAAATGACTGTAACCTAATTTTTTCCCCCTAAATCCCAGACACAGCCAGACATGGTAGAGTATGTCTTTAATCACTGCACCCTGAATGCCCATCAACACCTGGAGGCCAGGCTGGGGCTCCACTGTGAGTTCCAGGCCTGCTTGGGATACAAAGCAAGGACCTGTATCAAAAAAAAAAAAAAAAAAAAAAAAAAAAAAAAAAAAAAAACTTACAGCCTGCCCAATAAATATCTCATATTTTCAAATCCAATGTTTATAAAGATTCATCAGGAAGTTCAGAGAGAGTAGGGCATACTGATGCAGCCCTGTAATGCAGCACTTGGTGGGTGGGGGTCATTTTGGGGTATACAGCAAGTTCAGAGCCAGCCTAGGCTACATGAGACTCTGTTTCAAAAACAAGCAAAATCCATCGATATCAAAAATTAATCTGAAGCCATTTCTCTATTAATATGACCTAAGCATTTGTATGCTAATACAAAACTTTTTTAAATGCAGAAGACATGGCGTTTGAGTATCCAAGGGGCAGAAATGTAAGCTGAAGGCATTTGTTTATTTGGGGATTTTTGTTGTTGTTTTCTGAGACAGTCTCACTATGTAGTACTGGCTGGCCTGAAACCCACTATGCAAACCAGGCTGATCTCAAACTCATAGAGCTCCATCTGCCTCTGTCTCCTGAATACTGGGATTAAAGGCATGTGCCACCATCATGCCACCCCTAAACTGGAGTTCTTACATATTAACTTTTGGTACAGTCATGATGATTACATACAGAGATGATGTCCAATCCATCATGTAAATATCTGTCACCTACAAGGTTTCCTGATCTTAACCCATCCAGTTAGAGGAACAGGTGTTAGGAATGCACACCTTCTCTCCCCCACACTGGTGGCTAGTAGAAGAGCCGTCTGAAGAAAACCACTAGATGGACCAGGGGTGAAAATCCTTCTAGCCTATAAATTTTATTCAGTAACCTTCATTTCCCGTAATTATCCTATTGCCTTATTTATTGTTTCTCATGACTATTGCTATTTGCTTGCTAAAATGCAAGCTGCAGGAGACCATGTTGGTCTTGTTCACCACCATAGTATGCAAAGCCATATTAAACACTGCTGAAACTAGTGAAGGAAGCATTGACCAATCTTTGTCAAATGAATGGATGTGACCTAGACATAGGATACCATGTTCAGCAAAGAGGCTTCAGTTCAGCCTGAAGATCTCACCTAATGAAGGAATAGGTCAGAACCTAGACTCTTGGTATAACTTTAGCTTAAGATTCCTAATGCACTTTCTAGAAAACTGTCAGTGTGGCCAGAGATCATGTGGGTTCACAATTCTCCTGTGGATTACAGAGGTCATGAGGCACTAACTCCTACCCACATTTTCAACCAAACTGTTTCTGCTACATACACCACAAACGAGTAGATCTTAAACTTCAGTACTACTGGATTCAGTTTCCTGAATACTCCATGCTGTTTCAAACCCAAGCCTTGACCACGCCTTTCTGCCTGCCAATTCCTGCCCTGAATGACCTGATGTGATCTAATTCATTCAAGGACCATCTAAAACATCCAGTTCCTATAAAGGGGTCTTCACAGAATTGTACCAAGTGACTTTAGAAAGGAGACGAAACCTAAAATAGAAAGCATTTTTTATCGTAGTTGAACTAATGTAGCAATACGACAGCTTATACAGGGGAGGATGAGTTCCCAAAGAGGGAAGGAAGAACAAGCTAAAATGGAGAACAAGAAAAAGGACCAGAAGGCTCTAGAACTGGACAGTATTAAAAATCAGCAAGAAGGTCTCTATACTACCTGAGCAATGTACAAAGAGAATGGAAATGTAGAACTGGGTCCCAGTGATCGACCCAATGGTAGATGGGACACATTTTAATCACAGTCGTTATTATGGCACACACCTTGATTCTGGCTGCCATTCAAGATAGCGAAGACAGCTGTAGGTATCTCAAAATAACTCACACATATATTTCCTAAACAGAAATAAAGACTACTTTAGGAAGAGAATTTATTTGTATTTATTAGCAACAAGACAGCATTATGAAGAAACTTCCACATTGCATTTATTTTGGCTTACCAGAAGAAAAACAAGCAGTTTAAGATGTAAACATCATCCTGCAGTATAGGGATGCTAAACGTATTAAATTAATATATATAAACAGTACAAAGAAAAGGATCTGGCACATCATTATATGTGTTTCACGTGGCACATTTCCACATTTCTGAAAGATCACAAACCCAAAAGCCAACATGTAAGGCCAAGCCTGTATTTAAGTCATCATCAGAAACAGAAGCACAAATATTTTAAATGATGGAAAAATATATGTGGCCAATTTTTGTAACATTAAAATATCAAGACTGATTATCTGTACATGTAGCTTTTTTCCAGATGTTTTTAAGAATAGGGAGAACATAAGCATTCAATTGCAATTAAGTGAATAAATGAATAGGCTACAATATCCACATCATTTAAATTTATATATATGTTCCACATTTAATAAAATATAATGCAAGAATATCAATATCAATATTGATCTTATTCAGGAAACAGTATGAAAAGTTATCAGATTTACATTTTCAAATATCATTTATGAATTTTTACAATATGAAATAGTGACACTAAAATAGAAACTTAAAAGCAAACAAGAGACACTATTAAAATTTTTATAAGAAATATTATTTCATTAGTTTGTACTTTTCTATAACACAAAACCAACTTTACTTCAAGAATTCTAGGCCTAAGAATATCTTTAAATCTGGATCTCAAGCTGATATTGAGACAAGATGAAAATGAAATTAACATATATAGAGTCTAACTTTCTAAATGTACATTCTTCTTGTAGTCTCCCAAGTCTCCGAAAGTGCTCTAGGAATGAAAACTTCCATGCAGAAGGGCAATAATGAAAGATTTTGCTGCTGAACTCCACTATGACAGCTTGGATAATAGCCAGCACAGAGTCAGGTTATAGTTGCAGACACGGGCTATGCATTAATTTATGTCATTTTACAACTATTTTCCATCATAAACCCTGCTCTTTTTGACTAATCTAAGAGAATAGATTGTTCAGTTGTTATTCTAACCAATTCCATCTTAGATGGACCTTCTCTTATAAAAGACTATAACTGAGACTATTCCTACCTAGAATCCTAAGAAACAAACAGAAATCAAGCAGGATGTACAAAGTCATTTCTACAATAAAGCTGTCATGTCAACATGCCACTTGTGTAAACCAGGCTTCCTATGATTTCCTAAAAGAAAACAGCTACAATAGGTATGGTCTCCCATTGAATGAAATGACTCCATATTCTGGATAGATAACACTTATTTTGTCCTGGCTACGTATGGTATTGGGAATGTAATCAGCATGCTTACAAATATGGCATGACAGATCATGATAAGGGTTAATGATGATATTTTTCTGTATCTTTAAACTTGATGAAGTCGTGTGTGAGAAATCAATGGAATCAGACTCATTTTCTTTGGTAGAATAAACACAAATACCCCAGCACCATAGCATTCTCATTGCAATCATGCAAAGACTGGACTTGAAGCAACTGCAACAGTCTAACTTAGAATTTCTTATGTAAGACTTAATACTGGTTTTCAAATACTATATTGAGGGTGCCCTTCCCCCTCAAACTTTCAACAGACAACACGATTCAAATAACTTCAGTGGATAGATGTAATACATGTTGATAAAACAAACGCACAAAAAACCCAGAACCTAAAAATCTCTCACCTTTAGAAAATACTAATTCGGATACTGAGGAGCAGAACAACCGGGCTAAGTAGAATGTTGCTGCGTGTTGGTGAGGACCTGGAATAACATGTCAGTAAAGAGCTGGAATACATATCAGTGAGGACTTGGAATGTGCCTGTCAGAGAGGACCTGGAATGACATGTCAGTGAGGACCTGGAATGTGTGTGTCAGTGAGGACCTTGAATGACATGCCAGTAAGGCTACTAAATTCACCATGTAAGTACCATTTCCCAGACTGAGCCTAGCATCATTCCTGTGTTATCATTATTCTAAATTGTAGTTAATGATCACTGGTAATGTCCTGAGTGATGGGGTGACAGCCCTAGAATATTCCATTGAATTAACAATTCTAAAAAGAGCTGTCCCCAATAACTTGTGTTTCATTCTAACAGAAAGACAGAGGAAATGATTCTCTGTTTTGCTTTTTTGAGACAGGATTTTATGTAGTACAGGCCATGTAGTTAAGGGTGATCTTGAACACCTGATCTCCTGCCTCCACCTCTCAAATGTTGGTATTACAAGTGTACTCCACTACGCCCAGATCAGCAATTCATATAAATATTAAATTCTCAGGACATGTAACCCATATACACATGGGCATAATTATTCTCTAAAGACATAAATCTGAACTCCAACTTCATAAATAGTCTATGTATTTCTACAAATGAACAGCTTAATGATTTGGGAGATGAAGAAAGGGGCTTTAAGTTTACAATTAAATTCTGAGATTTAGTACAGTACCTGTCAACCTAAAATTCATTAAGACAATTCTTCACAGACTATTAAAGACAGAGGCCAACTTAAACATACATAAGATACAAAACAAACTTAAAGGTCTATAAATTAAGTCATTCTATTGATATAAAATTATATATAAAACATGAATAGAAACATTTAAGGTCAAATTTAGCACTCTGACTCATGATACAAATATAAATTGGGTTACCAGCTATTGTGTTTTTAATGCATTCACTAATAGTTTTTACCACAGTATACACTATGTGCCTGAGCCAATTATGGCTACTTCACTTCATTTAAGCCTGACAATACTTCTATAAAGTAAATATAGTCTATTTTAACAAAAGAGGAAAGTGTGGTTCAAATTTTAAGTTTAAGTAAAACTAGTAACCAGAGTGGACTCATAAAGACCTAACTTCAAGATCTGTAATTATTCTATAACACCACTGTGCCTTCTACAAAGTAAGTAAAGTTAACTCTTGCTCCTCCTTACAGATTCCAAATTTGAAAATTTGTCTACTGGCTAGTTTGCAACTTCAAAACCAATATTCAGGGATTTTGCAGATATTCACAGACGTGTGCACAGCACACAATTTTAAGCTGCCAAGACGCCATGCACTCCTCCTTTCTACTCTGATACTGTAAACAAACATCTGGTGGGCAATCCACTTAGTGAAGGTTTACTGTGTTTCTGTGCTTTGCTGGTGATTTCGCTTTCAGTGACCCCTCAAATGGGCTGAACAGTGGAAGTCTGCTATTATGAAGCACAAGACTATAGTGAGACTCATGGAGAAAACGTGCTAGAGAGACTTTGTTCGGGCCTCAGTGATGGTGCCATGAGTTAAATGCCCATGAATCAACAGCACACAGTGAACACCTTTAGACACAGATACACATACATCAAGGTTACACACTCATCAGCCAATGAGAATGTGGTGACCTAAGGCCCTCAGGAGCCTAACCTTGACTTTCCTGTAGGAACAATGGTTCAGTGTTTGCTAAATCAGAGCTCAGTGACTTCACAGGGCATGAATAAGGGAAATGAAGATAAAACCCTAAAATGCCCCCACTAAAAGGGTCTACAGTGGGATCTGGCTGGCCTCCCCCTGTCTTTCCCTCAAATACACAACTCATTATATGTATACAGTCACCACTTAACTACGTCAGACCCCCGGCTGCCATTCTGCTTCAAGGGTTGGAGCTACATGTTTTTGAATTGGCTTTCCAGCGTGAATCTATGATAATTAAATTTAATTCCTACTACAAGCGACAGATTCTTCTTAATGATGACTATTTTGTCAGGTTCTAATTTTTAAATTACTTGGCTATGAATAGTATGAGCAAAACGAATAAAAACATAGCGAAGAAAATTAAAAATACGAACACCAACTGGAACTTTCACCTTTTTTGTCCGAGTCAGAGATTTTATTGGAAAAAATGAAACTGTTACAGTATGTGAAACTCCAAACAAGGACAATTCAGGGTTGAGACTGTCTTTGTCCACTGCCTTCAGTACAATTTTGAATAAAAAACATAGAAGAGTAAAACACTTCATGGCCTAGTGCACTCGTTCCATGATAAACACATGCGGACCATCTCCAGCAAGTGAGATTCAATCCCCTCCTTACAATGAGCGAGAGAAGACAGCTTTTAGTGTGGTTACGCCATGTATCATCAGGACCATGAAGCTAGCCTATCAGTTCTAATAGCTTCTATAAAATACCACAGTGAGACTGCAATAAGCCTAGAAAATAGGCTACAAATCCCAGCTATGCTCAAGCAAGCAGTGAACCAAAAATAAAAATAGGTAAAACTGAACCAAGAATTACAGAGCACTTGTCTAGATTCATGATTGGTAAGGCAAAGTTCAGGGGTCAAGGTTCTAAAGTGACTTACTCAGATCTAAAATATAGTCATTACAGAAATAAAAGCATTTCTGCAATTAAGGGGGAAAAACAGGAATTCTTACTCCAAGAAATAGTATAAAAAGTCACATGTACAATTACCAAACATGTTATTGTACCTTCAACACGGAAAGGTCAAGAAACTCAAAGCTGTACTGTACCACCCTTCACCTCTCCAGCTGAGAGGCGCAGTCTAAAATGAGATGAACACATTCCTACTTACTGCATCTCCAAGCTCTCAGACTCTGAGAACTCTAGATACAGGGAATGCCGACTTGGTTTCCACTCCAATCATATTTAATTTAGCCATGATAGCTGAATTGACAATTAAAATCATACAATATAAAATACACATATTAAATCACGTTGACATCACTAATTGTTAGAATTTGAGAAAAAAATATTAATCACTTTAATATGACCATTTTAAAGAGTCATACAACTAGTATGAGGTCTAAATTATACCATCAGTAGAAATGTTATAGTTCCCCCTGCTTGGTGAAAATGAGTTCATGCAAGTATTTCTGAAACTCAGGGATACACATGGCCTGCCATTCTAAGGATGAGCAAGAATCTCTCACTTACAGAAACAAAAGTATGATTCAGTCACATAGTATTTGTTAAAATACCAGGTTTCACATGATTTCATTAAGCTCCAAGTCAACAGGGGAATTGTGATGTAGTTCAGGGAGGTATCAGACAAGTATGTCATTGAGAGGTAACAATAAATGACTCTCCTAATGCACACTGGTTTTCACTGTGGCTGCTATGGAGGTAGGCTGATTTCTGCAGTACAGTGAAAACCATATCATAAAATACAATGGGCTTGCAGTACAAAGCAATCATTCAAATAGAAAGTGAACTGAACAAAATACACTCTAGCAAAGATTACAAACCTTACCAATTGCTTACATTAGCCCTTAGAAACACCCTGAGTAAAACACAGTTATTTTTAAGTAATGCTGGTTATAGAAGATTTCTTTTAAAATAAACCATAAAAGGCAAAGCATCATTTTTTATTTACAACAGTAAGATATATAAAATTTCATCTTGACCAGTCATAATAGAAACAGTAAGGACTACGTGGGTTAAATCTAGAAGGTTTTCTATCTTTTGTTAGCATTTTGGAAAAGCAAGTAATACATAGATGGATTCAATATGAAAAAAAATCATGAACGAGAAAAATATATAAAACATACAGTAGTTTCTATCCACCCTGGGCCAACCTAGAGCTCTAGAAAGACTCCCCAATCAGGTTCGCTTCTGGCTAAAGGGAAGAATACCAGTCTTCCAGCAAAAACAGCCCCATCTGTGCATCAAAGAGGCTCTCACTGCAATGTATTCCTCCAGGGAAGAGGACAGGAGCCAGGTTCCCTCGAATGTCATTCCCCAGGTGTTCAAAACGTAACTAATTTATTAGCATTAGAAGATTTGGTTTATAGGGGAATCTCACTGGTCCAGTTTGAAGCCTACAAAAAAATGGATTATTTTTAAGTATAACATTAGAATATAAATAAAGGATGAGGATGTGGCTTTTTATTCCACAGAAATAGAAACATTTCCAAACATGATAATTCAATTAAAAAGCATGCCTACCATTGAAGTTGGAGGCCCTCCAGATTTTTTAGTATTCTTTGAAGGCATTCCACGAAGGTAACTGAGTCTAGCTTGGAAACCTGGGGAATCAAAGCATTCAGTTTAGAAGACGCTATGATCAGTGGAGCCTAGAAGATCCTATCAATAGAGAATCCAAACTGAGGGTGATGAATGCCAGGCACGTAGTACGCCCACTTAGAAGAACTGAAGCACTCCCAGTAGGGTTCTAGCACCCTCAGCACTGAACAGGCTGGTGCTCATTCAGACTGTAAGGACTCTCCTCCTCCCCATTCACTTTCCTATCAACATGTTCCTGATGAGTGCAGGAAGAAAGTGAGTCAGTGTGCTTCCTGACTTGCAAGTGCAAGAGCAGAGTCCCACATCTCTCTACCGCTTCCTGGTTTACCATCTCTAATTTCACTTCAGCCTAACCTCTTTCAATGACTATCCCAGTATGAACATGCTCATGAGCGCGCTCAGGAACACTACTGACCTCTTCTGCCTGGATGTGACATGAGGGGGAAAGAACCACTTAAGATACTTTCAAAGACAGGATCTGGCAAGTCTTTGCCCAGCTCTGCAGGATCTTCTTTCTCCCACCAGGGCAGGACTCCAGCGATGCCACAGGCTCCACCTGACTCCTTTTCATAGAACCAGTCGCTCTGCTCATCATCACCTGTGAACACACAAGGAGCCCCCTGAAGATTCAGCTTTAATATGAAAATAGTAATTCAGGCTCTAAGAGTAAATCTGAATTTCAGGTGAAAGGTAAATTTGTCTTGAATTTTTTGTGTATCTCCAAGTACTGCACAGAGCACAGCTGTATAAAACATTTATTATCTTGAGTTCAGCTGGACAATCGATTACTGTACACCACAGCTTCACTTAATGGAGGCTCTCTAGTACCATTAACAAGTTAATGCCACAGAAAGCCCACAAAGTATGTTCTAAACAAAATTAAAGGATGCAAAATTTATAATATCCTTTGGCAAACAGTGTAGAGAACTCCATTAAAGTTGCTATGCTTTCTACAATAGAAAACAACAACAACAACAACAACAAAAAAAAAAACATCCTTATTCGTACCAGGACTAAAAGATATAAAACTGCAGAGCTTATTCTTTTTAAGCAATAATGATATATAATTAATGTAATTTCATGATTGGTATGGACAGTAAAAAGGGAAACAATTATGAACAGATGTGACTAAAAGAAACTCATCCAATTAAGTTTGTCAAGAAATAGTGTTAATAGTTGATTTAGTTACAATACAAAGTTTGGGAACAAACTATATCCAAACATGGCCAACAAGGCCTGCTTTACGTTACAAGGACTCCTGTTGTAAGTACAAGGACTCCTGCAGGTACTCCTGTCCACAGTTGTATAAAACATTTATCTTGAATTCAGCCGGATTCTGTATTTTATCTGGCAATCGATTACTCTACACCACAGCTGTACCTGCAGTTAGGAACACGTCTTCACAGATGCTGACTATCTACAAGTGTAACCATGACGTTATAACAATCAATTGAAAGTTAATTTTACTTAATTTAACCTTGGTGAGAATCAACATTTTGTTTTTTTCAAGGAATCACTAAGAGATACAAAGAAATTAAATAGATTAAAGATGATTAAAAATACAGAATGCAGAGGGCTGGAGAGAGGACCTGAGTTTGATTTCCAACACCTACATGGTAGCTAACAACCTTAACTCCAGTTCCAGAGGAATCCGATGCCCTCTTCTGACCTCTAAGGGCATTTCATGACAAGAGTGTACTTACACACAAGCAGGAAATACACTCATACACATAAAATAAAATTTAAAAAAATAAAATATTTTTTAAAATACAGAATGTAGACAATTCTTAAAAATAAGAGACAAATGGGATTTACATGCGTCCTTAAGTTTTCTCCCGAAGACACCTGGCAGCCAGCACCACCTCTGCTTCGAGGGTCGTTATACCTGCTACTCTCTCTTTCTAAGAGGTTTCTCATTTTGAGAACCGCTCATAAATTTTCAAAAGGCAAACAGCAAAGTATGTAACAAAAACAACATGAACATGAACACACACACACACACACACACACACACACACACACACACACCCCAAAGCCTTACACTTCAATTGAAAACGATGTTATGAGAAGCAGATATATTTCAAATAGTGAAAATTAAAGCATTTGTAGAGTCACTAGATTGTTTCAATTGAGATTAATAACAATTGTTAAAAGCACAATTCAGAAAACTTACATATTAACCTTCGTATGAAAAGTATACTAAAATGTCACAGATCATATCTATTAAACATAATAATGAACAGGAATTCACTAGAAACTGACTACCATAGATCTTAACCCTGGCTGGGCAACACTATGCCAGGTAGGGTGGCCCATGCATGCCTGTTCCCAGCCACTTTACCTGAGAGGCTGAGGGAGACAGATCCAGTGTTTATGGCGAACTTATCTACAGAGCCTGTCTCAAAACAAAAACCACTCTAGAAAAATGAAGTTACTTGATTTCATTCTTTATATGCTATACAACTTTATTCTTAAAAGGAAAATTAAATAGCCATAAAAACTCAGGCAAGGAGTCAGACAGGCAAATAAAAATTCCAATGTTCTATAACATTGAGAAAGTTACTTCAACTCTATCAGTTTCTTAATTTAAAAGAAAATTGGGAACTCACACAGTAAGAATGAAATGAAATAAAAAGTACAATAAAGCTCTTAGCAACGTCAGCTACAGTAAACTCACAATAAACATTAACATATCTCAGCCACGCATGCCTCTAAAGATCACAGGCTCGCAAGTTCTTTTTAATGAAAGTTTTATCATTTCATCAATAATATCAATACTTATAACCTTTGGTAAAGATCTGTAATAACAATTACAGATCTTTATATCTGTAATAATTAAGTGCATTATCAAGGTAGTTCAACTCACCATTGACTCAAAGGTTCTAACATATTTCAGAAAGAGTCTGGACTTTAATAGCCATGTACATATTTATGAGGCTTCACCCAGCTCTTCTGTGTGCATCACCAGGAGGGGGTGGACAATAAGGGCAGCCTGGGCAGTGTGACTTCCTTCCTTCTGCCCATAAAGTCACTAATGATTAATAAGGAGTACCTGTTTCTTCCTTTAGAATGCACTTTTTATCAAAGCATTCTTAAGAAAGGAAGGTAACTTTCGTGACAGGTATTCATTCAATTGCTGGCTCAATTTCATGACTTGTATGGAGTATATAAGAAAGAGTCATGGGCTGACATGACTAAAGGAAAGCAATGCAGGTCAAGACTAATCCTAGCCCCTTGTTACAGTTTTCAAATTGCTCATGGTTTCAAAATACTGCAATATTGACTAGTGGAAAAGTTCAGGACATTTCAAAGATAGAAAATATCTAATATGTAAGACAATTTTCTGTAATAGTTTACAGTACTGAGTTCCTGAAAGTCATCGAATTACTTACAAACTGGATGGTATGAATAAATGTCACAGCTGAATTAAAAATGCTAAATCACCTACAACTCCACCCCTATGAATGCTTACATGGCTTTACCAACAGCGAGAATCAGGGAGACAATGAGAGCCAACGTCTAGCAAACCTGCACCGAGGTATGAAAAACTTTCTCAGGGAAGGAAATCCTTGATAATATTACTGCCACATACTGACTTTGGGAGATAATCTACTGCTGGGTCAGGAAGACAAGGCATGCTCCATGGCATATAAAAACAGGTTGCACTACTGAGCCTCAGTCCACCATGTCATGTCGGTGAATTACCACTGTCGACTTCTAAACTAACCAGCAATATGCGTAACTTTAAAATGGACACTTTAGAGACAGTAAAAAAAATGTCAGTACCTTGTCGTCCCTCATCATTGGTAAACAAACCAGCATCCGAGCTGCTGAGACTGCTGGAGTCACTGTAATGAGGGAAAGAAAAAGAAGAGAAAAAGAAAAAGATCAAGAGAACAATTGACCTCCCAGTCATAAACTGTTACAGAGACACAGCAGCTCAGAGATGGACCCTGAGCCTGACAGAGAGCTGAAAGAAAATAGGATTTTTTTTTTTTAACTCAAACTGCAAATATCCTGGTTCCATTTACTACAGAGCATATTATTTTTGGCACATAAAACCACAGGAATCTAATGGAACCCTGACAGAAAGCCAGATGTGACTGCACCAAGGTGCTGACACAATTGCTGCTCTTTTATCATCTGCCTTCATCAAATGCTCCTTTCTGATGCTGTTCAATTCAGCTTGAGCCTGAAATACCAGCGCTCAGTAAGACCTGGAAGTCGATCAAACACAGGCTGAAGCTTTCTACAGCACATAAACACAAGGGCCTGGAATGAAATTACTTTTAATAACCACATTTGCACATATTATGGAAAAGACATTACTTAACAATCTGCAACTCTGTTCACAAGAAAGAAGAGTTTATGGTACCAATCAAAATCATAGTGTGGTCACTCTAAGCAGCAAAATGAGGTGGACCAATATTAAGAGGGTGGACACTTACATAGGTTCTTGTTACTCATTTAAACTGACACGGGCTCAAATTTAACATAGAAATGCAAGCAAGGAGATGCCATTCAACCAACAAGAGCAAACTGTCACTATTAGTCTAATAGAACTCATGTATATAGTACCTCACTAACCAAAAATATGAAGTAAAGGAAATACAGAAAAATGTGGCCACTAGAGAAAACTGAGTGATACTCCTTAAAAATTCTTATGTGCTTTTAATTTTAAACAATCAGGAAATTGTCACTGGTGAATTTTTTAATAAAAAAATTCTTTAGGGGGCTGGAGAGATGGCTCAGCAGTTAAGAACACTGGTTGTTCTTGCGGAAGATTCAGGTTCGAATCCTAGCACCCACATGGCAGCTAACGACTGTCCGTACCTCCAGTTCCAGGGACTCCTACGGCCTCTTCTGACCTCCACGGGCATGGGCATTGCACGACATGGGTGCACTTACCTATATGCAGGCAATACACGCATACACATAAAATAAAAAATATGAAAAAAAATTCTTTAATTATGTGTGTATGTAGGCATGCATGTGCTGAGGTGTACCCACGGAGGTCAGAAAACTTGGAGTCAGCTCTCTCCTACCACCACATGAGTTCTGGGACTCACACTCAAGTTGTTAGGCTTCATGGAAAACACCTTTATCCACTGAGTCATCTTACCGGCCCTAAAAATAGTCTACCACTTAACATGTAGAACAATGTAGTCAGATTCATTAAAGAAGAGGCACATTACCCTGTTCTAAAATAGATATTGAAGATGAAAACATTGAATATAAAATATCAATATTCTGTCTTTTCTTTTCAGAACTAACACTAGGCTGGTGTGATGGCACATGCCTTCAATCCCAGCACTCAAAAGAGAGAAACAGTACTGAAAGGCCTAAGAATTTGTTCAGACACATTTTTCCAAGAAGCTCTTAGAATCTTATTCCTTAACTTTATCAAAATTAAGTGGCTATGTGATGCTTCTCATGCATTCGGTCTGTACTAATAAATCCTCATGGTCTTCCACGCCCGCTACACTTCAGAAGCTTTATCTTCCCACTGCCAGTGCTCCAAACTAGTATTCACGTTGTTCCTGTTTCTGTCTCCTGTTTTCCTCACATCACAACTCAAACGAAAGTCCTTAAACACATCTCAGGCACAATTCATTTTCGGAAACTCCTAAGGCAAATATATTTGAATTCAAAATCATTCACACAAAAGCACACTCAGATGCCTAGGGAGTCTGGACTAGCACTCCTAACCAGATCTGTCACATTTCTCAATTAAACAAATAAATATGCACATTAAAGACAAGTCTGGTGAAGTCTGGCCAATGAGTGAGTGCCCAGCTTGAACTGGGAATCAGTGTCTATTGTCTGCGGTCGGGATCCTCTGATCTGAGTTCAGGGTCCCCTCCGATCTATTCTGCCGCCAAGGTCACCTTTGCGAGAGGTAATGTGACACACTCTGGAACAGAAAAACTTTTAAATAAGATCAAAGGAATACTAACAAAATACAGACTTAAAAATGTCAGTATTGGCTCCTTAATAGTGATAGACACACCACAGCAATGCAAACTATTAGTAAAGGTAAATGGGTGAGGGCATTAGGGGAATGTCACAGACACAAAATCTCCACACTATCTTTGCAATTTTCCTGTAAATTCAAAACTATACTAAGGATAATAGTTTCTAAAACACACTCATCCATCCATACACCATACAGGATGGGAGGCTTCTTTTTAAAAATAAAAACGTTTATGGGTGCAAAATCAAATTTAGATGTCAAGGTTTTCTGTGTGGGTTCCCTCTGAATTCTCCCCATCCTTAATCCATTACTTCTGTTAATGCTTTTTCCAAGTGGCATGCCTACCTCCTCTGTCCCCAACTTGCCCTGTGTCTTAAAAGGAAATCCAGATTTCCTCTGCAAGACCACGCTGTACTGATCCTTGCTGTGCTCTATTTGTACATGAATGCATTGAGCACATTTTCTTATCTTCATTCCGAGTCACTGAAACCCAGCTAGTTGCATGCCCATGACCTATGATGCTCAGCTAACTGCACATGCGCATGGCCTATGCTACCTAGCTGGCTGCACATGTGCAGGGCCTAGGAGCTGCTATGCTAGTGCCCCAGCGAGGGGGGGTCAAAGGAGAGGCTTTTCTTCTCAGCTGATGGTCAATACAACTTACCTCTGCTTTGACTAATGCTCAGAAAGCAGACATTCTGTGGATAAACGAGGCACACCACTGCCAATCCCTTGCTGCTTCTGGTTCGTTTTCTGTTTTTCCTGTAAGTCAGATCTTGGCATCATTTGAGACCACCACCCTCCCGGAGTCAACACCCACTGATTCCAACTCTGCAAATTGCTGTAGGACCTCCTCCAGCATCCCTTCCCGCTGCAGCGCAGCCTGTCTCCTTCCGCCCACGCACTGGAGGTGGGTCGGAGGCAACAAAGCACTGCACCCAGGTCACTTTGCCTGGTAAGCTGTGAGTCTGGGTTTCTTCAAGGTGAGAGTTGCATGGCCTACAGGATGGGACCCAAACATCACATTTCAAACCGTGCCCCACCCCCAGCCTCAGCTCCTGCTGTGCTTAGACAAGCTGCAGGCATTTCCCAAAGCTCCCTCGCTTCCGGGTGGCTTCCGGAGCACCTTTCTCTGACCCACCACTCCTGTACTAACTGGCCCTGGTTCCTGCTTTTTATAAGGCTCAGCTCCTTCAGCCTCCCTCACAAGCACCTTCCCCAGGCACAGTCCCTCCAGAGCTTGCTGTCTCCCTCGGCTAGCCTGGGTCTGAGGGACAGTCTGTCTCGTTCAGGAACTCTCGGTGCACAGTGCAGTACTTAACCACCGCACACAGTGTTCTACTTAAAAATCAGCTCCAATAAAATATTCTCTATAGCAGAAAACTTTGGAAAGAGACGGTGCCTTAAATATTTAGCAGTCCCTTCCACAGGATTCCGCACCTACCCCTATTTTAGGCAGCAAAAATCTGTTATGTAGAAAAGTCCAAAATCAGCGGAAATATAGTTTTTACTTTATTTGACTGAAAATATCACTTGTAAAAAATGTACCTGGGATGTGTACTAGTGGCAACCTGAGAACTTACTTGACACCGATTTTCTTTCTTGTCTTTTTTGTTTCTACTTTCGTTTTACAATAATAAGAAATACATGAGGGGGATTTTATCTCATTTGATTTCCTGCGTATAAGAAGCAGATCAATAAAAAGGCCACAATAAAAAAGAGGGGCTTGCAAACTCAATCCAGAAAGCAGGTAATCTGGACTGAGAACGTCCATCTGCAGACGCACACCGCAGCACCTGAGACTCTTCTGCCTGCCCGCTCCTCAGCCGCACACCGCACACAACCCCGACTCTTGTAGAAAAACAGTAACTTTCTTGAAAGAAATGGACTCTTTAAAGTCTTCCTAAAATAATTTTTAAAACTTTTAAAGGAAAAACTACATACATAAACAGCAAGCTCGTTCTATTAGTTCTAACTAGGTTCTAATCACTCTGCAGCCATATTTATAAACACGCAAATATGCATATCTACAACCATGTGATTAAAATGAAGCCAGTGCTACAAATTAAAAAGCGGACTCTGCCAAGCCCTTTTTTCCTGGGCTCACAGAAATTTGGTTTTAAGGACACATGCTTAGCAAGATGAAAAGTGTCTTCTCAGCGTCTAGGAGCATAAGTTCTGGAGAAATGAGGACAGACAGACCACTGCCCTTCCGACGGAAGAGCACCTGCCGGTCAGCACAGTGGTAGCCTGCTTCCAGAAGGGGCAGGCCGATTAAGGATCTGTGCCATTTCCATTTTCTACTGACAAAATTCAGCTGTTTCTGGACCATAAATCAGGTTTTTATATTTCTTAGGTGATCAGAGGCCCTAGCAATACCGATTTCTTAAATATCAAGCCCCACACAAGGGGGTGTAAGCTTTAGGATGTCAGGAATCCAAATAATGGAGATGCATTCTACACAGCTCCATGCCAAAGCACCATAATAAGCAAGTAAAATTTATTCAAAAGCACATCCTTTCCCACTGAAAAGTTGATTCTTTTTCTCTTTGTAGCTGAAAATTAAGTCGTTATAATACAACCAAGACTGTGTAAATTAAATGAGCAATTTTGCTTTGTGTGAAAAACACTACCAATTATAAGGAAATACAACCCTAGTCACACTATTATCACTATCATTGTTACGGCTTATAATTATTTTAAATAGAATTAATTAAAATAGCAAACACACCCAACCATAAGCCCGGCAGACAAAGGTGGTCACAGAGACAATCAGTCACCTTTCACTCATGAGCTCATCGGGGGCCTTTTGCTCTTCGTAATCCATTTTGTCCTTACTGGTCTGGCTTCCGTCTTCACTTTCTAAAACGACTCCTTCGTCTTGGACTTTTGGTCCTTGTCTAATGACTTTCAATTTCCTCTTTTTAACTTTATTCCTGGAAAACTCCTGGTACTGGTAAGCTCTATCGTCCGTGTCCTGGTCCCTACAACCTTCAGGCGGCTGGGTCATTGTCCTTTTGGTACAGATGTCCTGTGGAAGATCTACTGCCATGCGCTTTACCTTTCTCCTCCTGCGAAGAGTTCTGTTCCCAAGGTTGTCTGCTGCAAAATCAGATTCGTGCCACAGAAGCCTTTTACTGCGAGCATTATTATTTAAGTTTGAAGATGGTCTACGCTTTGCCACTAGCATTTGGTCATCAGAGTCACTATGATCTTTTTTATTATTATTGTGATTCTCTCTGTAGTCCTTGCTTGGTTCTTCTAAACTAGAATCAGAGCCTTCACTTATGCAGTGACCAGCCTCCCATGGGTGGTGAACGTTATAGGACCTCCGTTTCCTTCCTCTCCTTTTCCTGGCCTGGCGTTTCAAGGGGCAAGACAGATTTCGGGAATGATCTCCAGTTTCAGCAAATCCCCCTCGAGCTTGCTCCGAGCTCTCTTCCAGGGCGGAGACAAGATCATGAACAAGTTCTTCCATAGTTCTACTGAAATGCCTACATATTTAGAGAAAGAAAAAACAAGTTACATACTATTGACTTACTTTTCCTCAGTAGGCTATAAATATGACCAAAATTAATATTCAATACATAATGTTAAAATGCTATGTAATTTTGCTACTCAAGTATGACAGAATATTTCAAATATTCTGATTCCATATTAACCCTCCATCTTCTACAGTGTTTTTAAATTATTATTAAACATAAGAATGGCTGGTGTGATGGTCTACACCTGTTACCTTAGCACTCAGGAAGCTGAAAATGGAGGATTATGAGTTTGAAGCTGGTCTGGGAACCAGAAGACAGACCCTGTCTCGAAAACCAAATAAATAATACAAGAATCACTTGTAAGGCACAGTAAAAATAGTATCAGAAAAAAAGGGGGGGGAGGCTGGGGAGGTGGCTCAGTGGGTAAACGTGCTACACAAGCATGAGGACCTGAGTTTGGATCCCCAGCATCTGTGTAAATGCTGGGCATGGTGGTGCACACCTGTAACACCAGCACTGGGGGATGGAGACAGGCAGATCTCATGGGCTCGCTGGCCAGCCAGTCTAGCTGAAATGGTGAGCTCCAGGCTCAGTGACATACCCTGTCTCAAAAAGACAAAAATAAAAAGAATAAGGGGAGGTGCTTGAGGAAGACATCCAGCTGTTGACCTCTGGAATCCACATGTGCCCACATGGGCAAATGTGCCCAACACACACACACAAACACACACACAGAATCGCAGTTTTTTACTTTTATCATGTAACCACAGAAAGGTTTTTCTATATAAATCACCCTTTTTCTAAAATCAATTTCCCTAAAACTCTGTTTGTACCCTGTCCACTTATTTCCAAGTAAACAGGCATAAAAACTTACACTCCCCACACACTTTACCCAATCACTACAACAGTATCAAAGGTAATCAGATTCATAGTAAATGTAAAAAGCAAGTTTTATAAATACTTATTTTTAGGTCATTATAACCTCATAAACAAATGAAGTAGAAACTCTATTCATCTCCAATCTGGAACCTGGCGGAACTACAAGGGGCCACCATTAATGCATTCTGAGGCAGTCTTTGGGTCTTTTTTGGTCAGCAAGTAGGAGCATCAGTGCTCCTTGGGAATGAATGATGTAGTTCTTTCAAACTCACTTCTCAGCAACGTGAAATTAGTTGGTGTGATAGTTTTAGTGTTACAGGTGCTCAGAAATGTACCTTTCTTAGCAAGACCATGGACAGTCACTTCTCAAATTCAGTCCTACAGACAGCCAGGTGACAAAATGTTCCCAACAGTCCTCTAAAGGCCAGTGCAGCTCTAGGATAGCAAGGGCAAAGAGAGCTCTGCAGGGCCCATAGCAAGTAGTTTAGGCTCTCTAGGCCCTAAAGTCTCTCTCCACTCAACTTTTTATAATGTAAAAATAGCCATAAATGAATGAATACACATCTGTTCTAGTAAAGTGGTTTTTGTTTAAAATAAAATCACATGCTACTTGACCATAGTTTTCCAACCACTGGTTTGCACAAGGCCTTTAGTTCCAGTTCCCATCATCTAGAAACTTCAAGCCTTAGAAAGTTCCCTGTAACAATCTGTAACTTTTTCTTTTCATTTAATAACCTTAAACACACATGATAATTTAGCTGATTTTATTATTTCTAATGATACACATATCACCTAACAGTTGAGTATACTATCTGTATTACCTAATTAAAAAAATAATTTTAAATTCTGTGTGTATGTGTGTGTGTATGGGTTTGTGCACGAGTACAGTGCTGAATTTACACGATGCCGTGAGCTGCCATAGGTGGATCCTGGGAGCTCAGGGCTTCTGGAAGAGCACTATGTGCTCTTAACCTCTGAGCTGAGCCCCCTCTCCAGCCCCTGTATCATCTAATTTCATTATCACACAGCCAGCCTGTAAGGTGGCAGGTGGATAAAGTAAGCAATCTCTGTCACATGACCCATCTAAGTGGTAGAGACAGGATTCAAATTCTAGCATTCTAGTTTGAGAACACCAATGTGCAATTACCAACTACACCTAAGAACAGCTATCCCAATTCCAGAATTCAATTTAGTTTCTTGCTTTACTAATTTAATTGTTAAGATGGATTTAATATTCATCAATATAAAAATCAAAAAGCACGTAATTGGCTATTACATTGTTTTAAAGAGAAAAAGCAAGCTAGAAAACCTAAGCCAACCAAGACACAGGGTGGTATGGCTGGTGAAGGAGAATGAACTCAAAGATCCAACCCTGAAGAATGTACAATGTGAGCAATTAAACATCACCGCTCTCAGTTCATCTGCTGGATTTCGTAGTCCCGACCCAGCAACTGTCACAATCTGAATATATAAACAAAAAGTCTATTTAGATACTATTTAAAAACATGGCTATTTGACTACATATTTTAAATAAACTCTAGAAAACAACTGAGATCTCTTCCTTCCTCTGTAAGGATCAGTAAGTAACTCCAAACTAATGTAACAACATTAGGCTAAGAGATCTCTGTATGTCATAAGAATTGGCATGAAGCCAAATTAATATCTACAACACTGGCTGCTTTGATAAACCACATAGATCTTTTATCCATTACCTATATGCTAAAAATTGCCTTTTACCCATGGCATTACTGGCAATGCTAACTGAATTAACTCAGTGGGTTATTAAAAAGGAGAGTGGAAATGGGACCTGTTGTGGGGGAAGTCTGGGGAAGGTGAGGGAGAAGTGAGTGTTGGATATGATCAAAATACACTGCATATGTGTATGATATTGTTGAAAGATAAATAAAAACATTTTGAAATTTTTTCCTACCTTGAAAAACACTGCCTTTTGTTTTCCCTTATTGCACTGAATGTCTTGTTCTTTTCCTGTAACACTAGTTCTTTGGAAGTGTAATCTGAAAGGTCTATTATCTCTAAATACAATATTGTACCTTTAAACAAAATTCACATAGACAGTTTAACATGTATTAAAATAAGGAAACCTTTCTCTAACTTAGTTCTAGAATCACTTACTTTGTGAAGACAAGAATGTTCCTATCAGTGGGTGGCTGGCTAGTTCAAAATACTGAGACATGAAAATAACTCAGTGTATGAATAAATCTCCAGATTATTTTGAAGTTACAGTTTAGTGCTTTATCTCAGAAGAAAAAAGGCAGTGGTTTTGTTTGTTTCTTTGTTTCCTAAGTAGCCCAGAATGGGCTGGAAATTGAGCTCTTCCTTCCTCCGCCTCCAGAGAGCTGGGATTAGAGGCCTCTACCACCGTGCCTGGATGTGCCAGTGGTCTTAATATTAAGAAAAGGTTAGCACAGCCCATTCGCTCCACTAAAATAGGGTACCCATTAATTGATTGAAAAAGTACTTCTATAACTAACAGGAATTAACAAACTATAACAAAGATTATCAAGAATGAAAATAAGATTTCTTAGAATCTCATCAAACTTATGCCAGCATTATTTAATTTTCTATTGTTTCTCTCAAGAGAAAATAAAATATATTTTAAAAATATTTTACCTAGAAGAACCAATAAATTCTATGAATCATTCAAACACGAACTCTCAGGCAGTATTTTATTATTCTGAGCAATATAAAATGTGCCTCAAGCCAAGATTTGATAGGCTAGAATGTTCGACCAAAAGTTTGCTTATGTGTCCTTTTAGAGGCAATGCTAAATAAACTGCCATCTTTGAGTTCTTTACCACTACCTCAGAAAACAGTTTTCCTGAAAAATGTATGCCTAAAAGTAAGGAAGATGAATTAATGAACAAAATATGGCATGCAGTAGACAAGCCCCCCTGCAACGTTTTCTGGTTTATGGAAGAATCAGGAAGCTCGGCAGCCTTGGTCCAACCGCCTGTCCCCACCCAGCAGGGGACCAAGAGCTGAAGGGGCCCAGGGCACTTAGCTTTGTTTTTTCCCTTTGAAGACAGGCTGTATCACAGGCTAGTCTTGAACTCATGATCCTCCTGCCTCCTTCTCCCAAGAGTACTGGGATAACAAGAATGCACCCTGCCTGTATCAAAGAGCTCTTAAATAGCAGTTCAAAAATGTGTGAGGGATGGGCCTGATGTCAAACACCTTTAATCCCAGCACTCTGGAGGTAGAGGCAGGATGATCTAGACCCAGGCAGACTGTTCTACATAGTGAGTTCCACGTCAGCTGGCACTACAGGGAGACCCTGTCTCAAAAAAAAAAAAAAAAAAG